CTGTTGGATGAAATGGCAGCTTGACGATGTTTAGCATTTCTGGTTGCCAATCAAAAACTGTTACGAAGGGTTAATTGGACGAGACAGCTCCTTTCAGGGAAGTGTGTTCTGCGTGAGCCACGAAGAAGCTTTGAAAGACTGTGACCTTGTCAGCAGCAGAGAGCGATGAATGATGGACTGCGGTGACATGCCAGGCCCCCGGGATCCTCACAGCTCAAGTCAAGTTGCAACTTGCTCAGAGATGGTGTGCGTGCCCTTGTTTTGCACACAGCACAGTGTGCCTCGTGGATGTTATTTGGCCTGTGTGTGTGTCTTTGTGTGTCTGCATGAGCGTCTAGCCTGCAGAGAGGAGGCTGATCAGGCCTTGAGAATATCCTCTGTGACAGCACATCAGGACCAGCCTCCCTCTCTCCTGACATCCCCCTCTCATTACTGCATTGCAACTCTTTGACTGTTCACTCATTGTCCAAGTCCCACGTCTTGAATGGAAATGACGTGACGAGCCCAATTGCGCTCTGCGAACACAGAGGTTTACCAAAGGGACAAAAAGAATGAAAACACAAACAGTGAAAAGGTTCTCGAGTTTGTTTTTTGAGGACTCTGTGACTGAAAAAGATCCCTTTCATGCTGTGATGAAATCATTGCCTGAAGGTAGCAATAATTGTCCAAGAAGTACAAGCTGAGTTGTCAATGATAACTGAGCTGCAGCTCTATTATGAATTCATGACGCCAAAGTGTATAATTGGCTCATTTGATAAGTTCTGAAAATCTCCTAAACGAAAATGAAGCAAATGAAAATTGCTGTTAGTGTCTTGAAATCGTGACGAGATAGAGGCAGTAATTTGTGTTGCAGAGAGCTTTCAGGCGTCAGTTGGTGTTGATAGATAAAACACCATATTCCCCAAATTAAGTAGATGGAGGACATTTCTGACCTCGTCTCTATTTGACAAACCCAGGTTCTGTTTTATCATCGTCTTTAGGTTTTACTTTAGGCAGCCGTGTCCCTTAGAGAATCGGTTAATAAAGACAATTTCTTTTTTCCTTAACAACTTAGGGGAAATTTTAATCACTGATTGGAGTAAGCTTTTTAATTACACAGGGAAATTATGGATTCTTGTACCGCATAACAGTTACCTTCACCAAGGAGGTCACGTTTGTTCATTTGTCAGCGGGATCTTAAAAACTACTAAATCGATTCCCATGACATTTTGCCGACCTGACCCCAGGAAGAACCAATTGAATTGGAGACCAAAGTTTTTTCTCCATTGACGTTAACATGGTGACCCTGTTCAAAAATGTTTGTTTGGTAGTTTTACTCTCGTTGAGGGTTAATAACAGATGTCAGTGGTGGTGTCTTCATGTCAGAATAACTCTGTGGTCCTCTTGAATGGAGCTCGACTGATCATCCACAGGTTTAGATAATGATAATCACAAACCTCTCATTGTGTTTGAGTGTATTGAGGAGAGTTACCAGTTTCATATACAGCAGATTGAAGAGAAAGAAGCACTAATGAAAATGTCAGTCAACTACAGGATTAAACAGCACAACGCTTCCATGATGACATTTTAAACAGTTTATGTTATAATACAGACTGAAGCCTGAATGGATCAGAGCGTTATTTTCTCACTTTGAAGCAAAAAAGGGGAGCGGACTGTTCAGTGTATTTTTATGACCATGTTTTGTATCACATGAAATGTTAATCTCCAACTGAGCTGCTAATGGCTGCGTGTACGACTGGCTCAGGTTATTTGGGAGTACCGCTCTGAAAACACTTGGCTCCTCGTCCATTGAATTAAAATAGTTTTCACTTTAATCATGAGTAGCAATTAAAGTGACAGAGTTCCCCCTCTTTATTATTTCTAAGTGAGAGCCTCGCACCGCCGGGCTGTACAGTGGTTCGCCGCTCACTCAGGTCTCCCTGCGGCGATGTCGGCTCCCCTTTATGAATAGCTTAACAGCCACTGTAGATCACAGTGAAACCAATTACTGAGGTGAGTCAAAGGGAGCTGAGATTGAGCATGAATTCAGATGCAGCCTGTAGCTGCTGTTGTTGCTTCGCCCAGATATTCCGAACGCATCAGAGGCGCCTCTGATAATCCTGATTAAAAAAACAACATATTGCCGACATGCTTTGATCACAGCGAGTGGTATTGTTGTTTTCCACCACAGCTTACTGATGATGACTGGATTCTTGAGAGCATAAACCAATTCAGCCCCTGACAGCCTTATAATGGTGGACGTAAAACACTCAGAAGTCCCAACCTAAAGTTTGACAACTTGGTTTTGTTTCTCTTATAAATCATTCTCATAACATCGACTGTAGAAGTTCTTCGTTAACGTTTTTCACCTTCTCAAACTATACGACATGAAACTTTAACCTTTTCCAAGTCTTGTTGTCTCCTAGCATCGTACTTTAAAATGAAATGGCAGGAGCCCTGTGACACACAATGTTTCAGAAAGCTATCGTAGTGGTTTATTATTAATTATTTGCACTTATTATACTTTCAGCTCATGAGACATTGACTTGTGTTGTTTATAGAAAACTTCAAAATAACTTTAACAGAGCCCAGCCTGTATATAAAGATGGATGACAAGGATTACCCCTCTGGTGGCTGGCTGTAGTATAGGTCATAAACCCCACCTCCTCCATGTTAGGTGATGGGACATGGACCAAACTAAAAACACATACATGTTTTCCTAATTGTCCATATTTAGTTTCAGTCTATGCCTCAGACATGTTGCAGCTTTTTTTCTGTTCATCTTTTTCAAATAGCAGTTGACAAACATGCCTCATGGGTGTTATACATATGTATTGGATTGATTCATCCAGACTCTAATGTTGTGTTCAGTGCATCTACTTGTTATTGGAGGAGAAGCACGGGTGGAACTGATAACACTAATGATGGTGGTGCTCCACTGCATATCCCAGGAAGCCATGGCGGCTAGTCAGCATGCATAATGATCCCAGGGTCTGGGAGGGGACACAAATAAGTTAAATGGACAGAAGTAAATTTAATTACACATGAAATCACGCTTGACGGGATGTGTTACTCAGTTCTGCAGCGACCAGGGCGGCGCACCAGCCCTCCCATCTAATCACCAAATGACTGCTCACACTGCACAGTGGATGCAGCATGTTCTCGTTTTTCACCGCAGCAAAGCAGACATTTTGTTTGAGAACATAAATACCTTTGGTTTGGTTTTAACACACTTTCTTTTTTGTAGGATGCGTGTGTGGGCGAGGAACACAGTGGGGGCTGTTTTAGTGAGACAGACAGTACTCCCATTACATTCCACAGCGCCTGTGTTAAATAAAGGCTGATATTTTTCCTCCCAGCCAGACCCTTTCAAGAGTTGAGTCTTGTGAAGAAAGAAAAACTTCCTTTTGTCCACAGTCTTTATCCCATCCCATGCACTGAACAAACCACGAGTAATTCTCTTGGCAAATGTAGGAAGATGCATACGTGTGTAATCCACTATAATCACACATGATTTCTGTTCTGCTCCACCACAGAGGTTGTGAAGCGTGATTTTCTTTCACCGAGCTATGGATTTGTGACGTGGGCTGAAGAACCATTAAGCCTTAATGGTTCTTCAGCCCATCTTGGATTTGTGATGGATTCCGCTTTTTCCCCAGCTTTAGCCAGGGCACATCACATGACGCCTCTCAGCACTAATACGAAGCACTGTGGTGCCCGTTAGCAGGAAAACAGTGTCGGACCTTATGAGACAGGGAACTCTACGCATTCCTTAACAACTGGAATGACAGAGCGCATACCTCTGCCAAGATGCAGTGGTCCTTATCAAGCTGCAGCAAATTGCACACACAGTATAAATCAAGAGCCGTGAGAAAATGTCACATGATGTCAAGGAAAGTGACAAAAGAAAATATCCTCAATCTGCCTCTTTGTCCGGATCCACTCCAAATTTACATGAATTATTCCCTGGGAAAAATATAAATACGTCAAAAATGCCAAATCTCACAGATAATTCAATGGCCTCTTTATATCCTCTCTAGTTTTTGTGTAACCCGGCATTCCGACATCAATCATGTCAAACCCAGAAAAAACAAAACAACCAATCATAACCTTTTGGCATCTGTAATAAGTTCTCACCGTTCAGACCTGGTATCAACTCTGGACCACTCACTCTTCTGAACTGTTTCACAATGAATGAAAAACTTATTGTCATGCTTCTGTGTCCAAACATTGATTTGTTTGTGTTTATATAAAGCTTTTCTAGCCAATGGTCCAGGCCATTGAAAGCGCTTAACAGTACAGTTTGCCATTCACCCATTCACACACACATTCATACAATGCATCTATTGAAGCACTTCAGTTCGGGGTTCCGCATCTTGCCCAAAGACACTTCGGCAGGCAGATGGGGAAGACTGGGGATCGATCTGCCGCCCTTCTGGTTGGAGGACGACCGCCACATGATGACTGATGTCACAGCAGAACTGCACCAGATTTATTCCGACACATCTGTTGGCTCAGACTGGGCAAAAACGACATTTGATCTTCCACCAGAAATGATATCCGATCACATCAGGATGTATTTTAATATTTTAATACCAGGTGTGAACAGGACCATTGACAACTTGTCAGCTGACAATTAATGAACATTTTTATCGACCCAAGGATGAACCAAGAACAGAGTGAGCTCAGAAAAACTAGGATTTAAAAAAAGGTGTGAGCAGTTTTCCAACAAAATAGTTGTAAAAATCCAACCTGATCAGATTCTGTTTCTGCGTCTGCCTTCCCACATGTTTAGGTTTTACATATGTTTTCTACACTTCGCTCATGAATTCAATTTCAACGATGGCTCAAGATAACGGTTGTTTCCATGACGTTAGGTTCAGAACCTGAACACGGTTTCTCACGGTGTGTTGGTGAGTAGCGTCACACAGGCAGACAAACAGCAGGCCACCTGCTCCTCTCGTCTTCCTCTGCACTTTGTTCTGAATCAGGGCCAATCAAGTGAAGTGGCGGCAGGTGGACTGTAATCAGGCTCATGGAGAAGCATGTGGTCACATCTCAACTGTTTCCTCTCTCTCTCTCTCTCCATGTTGAAGCAGAGCTGTTGTAAGTTTTTTTTTTAGATTGGTAGTTTTTGTCCTCTTTTCAACATGTGAGGATAAAACTTTGCCTCAGATCTGGATGGAAATTGATTATAAGTGGGACTAACTCCTTGTTTTTGTTTATGTGCTGTCACTGTTTTAATTAAAAGATACACTTGTCATTTATAAACCTTTTCTTTATTAAATGTTTTGTCCTTTTAAACAGAATCAGATAATTCCAGAAATCGAATGACTGCCTGTACGTAAGTGTTAAAGGCTCAATGCGGAGTTGAATTTGGTGCGGTTCATTAAATATTAATGAATTTGTGGCGACCCAGGCTTCTGTCATTGACGTCAACAGCACATTCACGACAATGGCAACTGATTGGAGCTTCACTGAACTTAGAGTGAACAGGCAAACATCTCTTTATCAGCAGCGGAGAGGAATTAGGGTTTTTATTTGTCGTGGGTCAAGTACTGCAGGCCCAAACATGCAGGTTCAGATACAACCGCTGGGTTCAACAGAAGCGATTCACTGAGTAGTTTAACACTTTGAGAAGTTGCTGTTTTCCAGTTTCTGAGCAGCCGACTTCTCGCTGGGGTTTTGAAAAAGTCTGACAGAACTACACAAAAGATATTAATGCTAAACCAATAAAAACATAAAGATATAGCACACTGACACGTACTATACAGATCTGAGGACAGAGCTCAGCAAGAACGAGCCTTAGATGGATGATGTAAGTTGTGGAGGAACATATTCTCTATTTACAGTTATTCACCAGACAGTCAGTGCACAATCCCACATGCTGCAAAATAGATATCAGTGTTTCTGACACAGATCATAACCAAGATTTTATTAGACCCGTCTCACACAGTGTGACATGTGATAAACCTGTAAGATTGCTGTTTTTTTTTTTTTTCACACAGCGGAGGACACGTGTGAATGGGTCGGGTGTTCATTATGCTGTCGTCCTCCCCTGAACACGGGGATCAGGAAATCTCGGCAGTGACAGGCGAGACTTTTCACCTGAACTGCTGCAGAACCCGATGGTTTCCTTCTCACTGCGTCTTATTTCCCCGGACTGACTCATGTAATCCCACTTCTCCTGTTTCATAACCACTGTGCTACACAGCAAAAAGGAAAAATGGATGGGGTAAATATAGTTATTACGTCCAAGCAGGTGAAAGTTTTTACCCCTGTGCTTCGTTTGTTAGTTTGTCAGCAGGACAAGAAAGACCCAGTTGAGATCCAGGATTATTTAAATTATCTTAACATTGCAAACATTTGACATTGTAACAGGTAATAAGAAGAAACCCTGATATCTGTGAGTATGTGCAGATCAGAATAAAAAATGGATCCAGCAGATTTAAAAGTGGTTCCATGGACTTTCGGACAGAGGGAAGGATTCTTATGTGTTTTCATCAGACTTTCTTTTGTGTGTTTTTCAGCAGGATTCCACTGAAAGAACTCAACTCGATGGAAGGAAGCAGTTTGGTTCTGGGAAGAACCCGATGAACTTTGGTGCAGATCCAGGAATTTATTTTGCTTCTTCAGGGAATAATTGTTGGATCTAGGTGAAAAAAAAAGGAAACTGATATTTATGAGTGTGTATAATTTGGTGCAGATCCAAATAAAACCAGATCTATAGTGAAATCAATTGTTGGCTCCTGACGGAGGTATATACGCTCTAGTGAATTCTACTCATACATGTTTCAAATCTGCTCTTCTTCAAAGTAAATGTGTAAATTAAGAACGTTAAAAGTCAGAAATGAGGGAGGAATCTACTGCTGCCATCAGTGGTGCTTCGTTCACCGTGTTAGCAACAAGAGTCCATTTAATAATTATATTCTTCATTTATACTTTTCAAAACAGTGTTTCTCTCCTGGTATAAACATAAAAGTAGACTGAACTTTTGCAAAAACAGAACAAGTACGCAACATATTAAGTACTCAAACTATAGTACACAGTACGAGTCATATAGCACACAGTGGATAGGATGAGAGTTTACGAGTTGTGACATCTGCAAAAACTCAGAAATGGCAAAGGCAGTTATTTTGTGCTGAACGGAATATATACAGTTTATATATGATAATATAATATATTGTAAATTTAGTCGTATTGTTTTTCTTGTATTGCTATTTCCAGCAGCATCATCTCTTCCTGCCGTCACTATACTTTTTCATTTCATGTATTACATCACGTTCCTGCTGACTTAACATTGCAGTGGCTGATATTAGCGTGCCGCTGCCCGGCAGAGGTGCGTCCTCACCACTTTGACCATCTGAGCACGAAACACACTGCGCACCTTCCCACATCATAACCTTCCAGTCTGAAGGCAGCACATGAGGCAGGGAGCGTAAAACCCCACACGGCTCGGGCAGGACGTCTGATAAGTGAGGACACCTGTGTGGGTGGAGCAGTTAAAATCCCTGCAGCGCCTCCAGCTTTGTTGGGCACTCGCTGGAATGTCGCTGCCAGTGTCTGCGCACGGAAACCTGGCGAGAGTTCACGGGTTTCCTAGATCGAGCGGCAACAGCTGGGACACATCATGACCTGTGTGTGTGTCCATCGCTGGGTGAAGGCCACATCACAGATAGCTTTTCTAAAAGTAGTTCACCAAGCTTCATATA